CAATTCCATTTTTTCTTTTAATTTCTCTATACCATTCAACTAATATTTAACTTCTTCATTTTCTTTTATTTATTTTGCCATCTTTAGCTTAGTTTTTCACATTTAGGATCTGCCAATTCAACTATTGTTTGTTTGTAGTAATGCTTGCAAATATTTTATTTGGCACCACTTATTATGGGCAGATGATGAAAATGTGTGCTCATTTTTATCAAGTCTACCTAACTCTTAAAGTAGACTACACAAATCCGATAAGAATCCAAATCTATTTGTCTTCAGGGTATAATACAAATTCTATCTATTTCATCAAATCTGTGATTAACAGCATCTGTATTTATGAAATGTTCTCGGCTGTGCAGGTGAAAACATTTTATATGAAACTTAAGTGTTATTAAATAATATTCTGTGATGCTATCAGTATTTTGTGTGCATACATGTAAGTGTTCAATAACTTTAGGTTGAAGTCTAATAGTTTTAGTTTTTAAACTTACAAAACAAGAAAATCTCTTCTTAAAGTATGAGTTTCATTTACCTAATAAATTGGAATATATTATAAAACCTAAGTTACATCAAGGAAGTATCTTACGGTATCTTGGTGTTTTGTTTCCCACTGAACACTGGGCAGCCTGCAAACTAGTACTGAGTAACTATTAAATGTTATCTAAACACATACATGGACAACCTTACGAATATTATTGAATACACATATACACACTCACACCCGTAACAGTTCATGCTCAAGTTGAAGTAATATACGTAAAAAGGAACTTCTGACCATTGGCAAATTCATCGATAAAGCACCTTTCCAGTTCTATCGTGTGCAAGGCATGCTAATTATCGACTAAAATTATATTTTTGCTGAACCTACTCATGAGGGCACAAGGTCTTACTCTGACAAAGGATGGTGACAAGGGCATCGTGCTGAGCAGTACTAGAGCCGCAGTCTTGTTTTTCCCTGGGTGTCCGTGCTTGACTGTCTTAATGATTCTGGGCTTCCCTTTCTTCACCTATAAAACTGATTGGATTATCTCCAACATCCTCCCCCGCTGCACTCAAGTCCTGCCATTTGACGATAGTGATGATGATGATGATGGTACTTTCTCTGAAGATGACGGTAAAAATATCTATGACACACAGAGGCCTTAGTTATGAGTCAGCCACTGTCATATAATTTATGCACACTCATTTAATCTTCACAACAACCTATGTGGTAAATATTCTGATGATTTCCGTTTTAGAAAAGAGGTTAAATATCTTGCCCAAAGTCCAGGAGATAAGTGGTTGATATTCAGGTCCAGACAGTTTGACTCAGAGCCCACACACCTATTTATTCTGCTACTTCACAGTAAATGATCAAGCTTTCAAAGGTAGCTGTAAACAGAGTCCTTGCCAATGAAGTTACTAATAGTTCCACTGCTGCTGACATGAATCTAATCTGTCTTTAATTGCTGTCTCTGTCATTCTCTGCTTGTATATACAACATTATAAAGGGATTTCGATCTTCAAAAAACGTGATCCTTAAAACAACCCTGCAAAGGCTAATGAGGAGTTGTTTTTCATTTGAATTTCGGTTATGAGAAAATTTAGAGCTGAGACCCAGATATTTATGAGACTTCCTAATTACAAAGTGAAGCTGCTTTCCATCCCTTAGAGAATAAGGAAAGGTAAAACACACAGACGCGAAGCCAACGGACAACACGGCCGATCTGAACTCGAGATGGCTGACTTTGCTCCGTCTGCGTGGTTAGCGCTCTCAATCTTTTCTCCAGCCAAGCTCTCTCTGCTGCCCAAGGTCTTGACAAATCAGATTTAACCACATAGAGTTTATCATTTTCTTCCAAACCTACTTTTCCTCCTAAGTCTCTTCTCCTGAGTAACGGTACCAACGATGACTTATCTGAATGAGGAACCTGGAAGTCTTATCCTTTCTCTCCATCAGTCCCACATACTCAATTCTACAAACTCTAGCTTCAAAATATCGTTCTCATCTATTTATCTCATTCACATTGCGGTTGCTAAAAATCTTGAGTCACTTGCAGAATATAAAAGGTCCGCTATGATTAAGGACCATTAACTCACATCGTCATAACAACTCTTACGTACCATAGGCTGAGGCCTCACCAAACAACTCACAGTTCCCTATACTTTAGCATAAGTTCCATGCCTCCGAGTACGAAAACCCCTCTGCCTGGAATTCTCTCTGTCATGAACACCACCTCACTCCAAATACTTCCTCTTCTGAGAGTCTTTCTTTACCTGCCCCATCTCCAAATGAATCGCTCCTTCTTTCTTGTCCATGCCCATATCATAGCACCTTTTTTATTGTAGTTTAAGGGTAATAAATATATTCCACCCGATGAGATTTAGTTCTTGGCTTTATGCTTTGACTGTGTTTTCTTTAATCCATAAAAAAAGCCTGCAGTGAAATTAGTTTCCCCAGTTTACAGATGAAATTCCCGAATCACAGAAAGGTTAGAAGGCTACATAATTCAGAAGCGGTGAAACCCAGGTTTTAAATGTGTT